CCCGGGGGTGCGGGCCCTACGGGCAGCGCCCCCCGAAAGCGCCCAGCCCGGGGTCCTTCTCCAGGGGGTCAACGAATCGGAGCGAAAATCGGCAACGGTGTCGATGGGTGTCTCCTTCAGGTGACCCCAAGCAAGACCAACTGGTTTTAAAATCCCCGTCGAGTAACAACACCTCGCCAGGAGGACAAGCTCGTAAATACACAGCGGCTGGTACTGATCCTAACAGTGGCCATCTATATGCTACACCCGTGAAATCTTGCCTTCCCGGTAACATTGCTCCAGGCGCAGTGGGTCAGGAGCTCCCCGTCCCCCAGCACTGCGGGCAGGTCCCCTGCTGCTGTTCATGGCCAAACCACCCCCTGGTTTGAGCGTGCTCTTATTCAAAGCGAACAGTTTCCTATTCCGTGTTCCTTACTGACGTGCTCTGCCAGACAGATTTGCTTGCAGAAACCTCCTACTGTTCCCTTAGAGGCCTTTTCTGTGTCATGTCTTTTCTTATAAAAGAATGATACAGCGGTAGCCCTATGGTTGTGTCTCCCTCCTTCACTTCTTTTTCCTCATGAATTGCCCCTGAGTAATGTGCAGACCTGCTCTTGGAACTTCCCTCCTAGCGGAGTGGGTGGTTTTGATCTGATGCAGGCCATGGCTTAAAAAAAATCATGTGGAGTAGTAATTTCTAACTGTTCACTGTAACTCATTATGTTACCTGAGTTCATAGCATCTAGCTGTAATCCCCAGGTGGGAACCACCCTTCTCACTAGCAGCCATTCAATTGGCTTAGCTAAAATTTAAATGTACAGCTTCCTCTTTGGGCGGCCAGGTGAAGCAACCTCTGGCTCTGTGTGTAACTTGGGCTCATGTATGGCACACCCTGAATTTAGCAACTGAGCTTAGTCCGTGCCCATTTCTGAGTGCAGAAGCTTAGGGCGTGTGTGAGGATGACATGAACAGCGGGCTTCTTGCCAGAAACGGTCACGGAGGAAGCTCTGTTCTCTTTTACCTGAAAAGGACCGGTCTGGTGATTTGAGTAAACTCCATGAAAACGTGTTTCTCCAAAAAGCTGTACTTGTCTGTGATGTTCTTGCTTGTAGCATCCTGCCAAACACCTTCCCCTGCACCCAGCCAAGGCAGGCTGTTGCTGCGCTGCTGTGTACATGCCTGATCCCAGTGAGTGTTTTTATGGACATGGAATGGAGAGAAATTTTGACCCCCTATAGTATCCTGAATATCAGATGCTGTGCAATGTTGCTCAATCATGTCTGAGTTCTTCAGGTTAATGTGAGGAACAGGAAAACTTCAGATGCTGTAAAGCTGCTTCTCAGCTTGCTTGGATGCGGTGTGCTTGAGTGGCTAAAGGGGATGTTACTATCTTGCTGCCACTCTCCCGAATGGATGAGTGTAGAGAAAAGGGTTTTCTCTCCTCTAAACATAACTGTACTTTTGCTCACTTTGAGTAAAAGTGTATTTCTGTTTCAGCTGCTAATTCTGGGATTAGAACTCAAATGTGCTGATAACTGCGTAGTCATTTGAAGGCACCAGTGTTTAGTGGGGTTTAGCGTGAATTGACAAGACCAGATGAGTAAGAAAATTGAACAATATATAAAAATATTTTTATCTTCCTTTGACACTTAGATAAGTGACAGGGTGGAGAAAGGCACAGGAGATGTGTAAGAAGCACAAGCATAAACTAATTTTAGAAATACCAATGTGCCTGTGTGTGTTATACATAAGAACTCATCCATATGGAGCCAATCCCCTAGGGAGCTGGGCACCGGTGTGAATGCAAAGCTTAGCCTGTTCTTGTGGGAAATATTTCCTCTGAGTACAGGCAATGCCACACACAGAGCAGCTGTGTTGCACACATTTATACCTTGGGTGTGTTGCAGCAGCGTGTGGATGCCCTCTGTATCTGATAAGGGCAGGTATCCGCAGCCGTTGTACAATCGTTGTCCTTGATGCTGGCCTAAGAGACTAGAAAAGTCAGTCATGAAGCCAAATCCTTTTATACCTTTGTGTCCCCGCACAGATGTGTCTTCCTGGTTTTGAACAGTGAGAATTCTAGCACCAAAACGGTGTGCAATGCGGCTCTGAATTAGCTGGAGAGATTGTTTGTAAATGTAGGACTGTTGTCTTGTCTTCGGCCCATTGAGATAAAATCTTCCTGGTTTAGGACTTTCCTTCTGTAAAGAACTGTTGAGTTGAGTGAGTGGAAGGATTTGTTGTGAAGGTGTGGGATGGAAAGTCAGAATACATCTAGTAGGAGCCTGGAAACAGTGAAAAACGTTGTCACAGAACTAGTTTATCTCTTGGTAACTTACATAGGGGCAGCATTCCCTTCCTGCCACACAAAGAGCGAGCCCTCGGGGTCTGTGAGGTGTCCTGCTCGGACAGTGAGGAGGCCATCTGAGCTAATTCCCCTGCAGGCAGTGGCTGGCTATAGCAGGTATGCTGCTGGGAGCACAGGAGTGGAGATGGCTTGTCTGGATTCCTGATTCTGCTGCGATAGCTTCCCTGATATTACCAAAAGGCCAGATTACAGGAGATTATGTAGGAAGGCGGGCTGTGAAAGCGTATAAAAGCAGCAGCAGATGTCAAGGAAAAATCTCTTCAGGCTTACACTTTGCACTCCAGGGCACAGTGAATTTACAGAAACATTGTAGGAATATAGAAATCCCTTATAATTTGCCAGGGCCCGTGCAGCAGGACAAAGAAATGTGCATCTGGCCTTGATGATAGCAGCAGGAGAAAATGGCTGGGGGAAGAAGTGATCCAGCTTTGTGTAAAATAAAGCTCTTGAATGAGTGTTGTCACTTTTGTTTTGCAGGTGATTGCCCTTGTGATGGATTCCTTCACAGATATTGATATCTTTGGTGACCTTCAGGATGCCTATAACAACCGCAAAGTCCCTGTCTATATCCTTCTTGACCAGGACTTTCTACCCCATTTCTTGGAAATGTGCAAGAATTTGGGAGTTTGTCCAGAGCAGGAAAGTGTAAGTGCTAAACATGGGTGGGTGTGGTTGGTTTTTATTTTTGTGGTACATTTATGGTTATGGATATCTAAGATGCCCTTCTATAAAACATCAGACCCCCTTGAAAGACTAAAGCATCCTGTCTGATACCTGATATAAAAGGGGATTGTCTGAAATATTTCTCAGCTTCTGAAGGTCAAGGCTCAGTATTGCATGGTTTCACTACAGTCTCTAATCAAAGATGTGAAACTGCTCACAATCTCTGCAAAAACCATGCAGAAAAGGCACATCTACTATTCTACGTTACCCATTTGTAGGACCTACAGCCATGCTATGCAAAAACCTGGTGTGCTGGGTGGAGTGCGCACTGTGATCCCTGTCCTGAGGAAGCAACAATTTTCAAGCATTTAATTTTGCAAGATACTTGAGTTGCTTTATTCTTTGGCTCAAGGAACTGCTTGCTAAGGAAAACAGAAACACAGGAAGCTCAAGGGTGGTATAGCTCTGGTAACATCTCATTTCTTTTCCAATACATAGTTGCTTGCTTTTAAAAGGGTTTGGATGATGTGACCCAGGTGATCTACTTAATTCCTCTGAATATAAGCTGACATGACTGTGTTATAGCTTGGTTTGGACTATGTTCACCACAGTGGGTGTTTCTCCGGATGGGGAAACACTCCTGGCTTCGTGGGGGGTAGTTAATTAGGACTGGCTGTTCTCTCCACAGACTCTCCTGATCCTACAGAAATTTAGCACTGTGTAACTGATAACACTCACATTGCAGATGATGTAAGGAAGTTCACTTTATTCCTACCTTCCACGGTGTGTGTAGCTGCTTAGGTAGAATTGCTAATGAAAACTTTTTGGAAGTTAACTTAAATCTGATGTTACTTTTTCCCTTCTTTTCTGAAACAGCTGATGAGAGTTCGAACTCTGACGGGGAACATATACTGCTTGAGGTCAGGTGCCAAAATTGTTGGGAAAGTCCATGAGAAGTTCATGTTAATTGATGGCATTAGAGTGACAACAGGCTCCTACAGGCAAGTATTGGGGTCTGCTAGTGCCTGATGAAGCTATAGGAAGGGGAAGTTCCTGCAAGAAGGATTTATTAACTTTGCTGTTTGCCTGGTATTAATGAATGTCAATGGCAGGTGGACTAGCTGAGTCTAAATGGGACAGCACAAAACTGGAAACAGCTTTGGAAAGCTGGTTTACACAACTTGTCGCTAGCAAAGCACTTGGCTGTGGCTAAATAGAGTTCTTCCTGGTGAAGGGAGAGTGAATGGTCTATTGAATTTATACCTTCCTTATGCACAACACTTCTAAGCTGAGTCTGGCTGTCTATAACCGTATGTGTTGAAATGCACTGGGGATTAACTGTGAATCTTCATTTGTTTTTGATAGTTTCACGTGGTCTGATGGGAAGCTGAACAGCAGTAACTTGCTGCTATTGTCAGGTCAAGTGGTTGAACATTTTGACCTCCAGTTCAGGATTCTTTATGCCCAGTCGATGCCCATCAGCCCTAAGTGGCCGTCCAGCTGCAGGAACAGTGGGATGTTTGATCACCTGGTGAAGAGAATAGAGTCCCCTAAAGAATATACTGTGGAAGGCAACTTGAGAGCAGAATTTGCCAGACTGTCTAGTACTCCAAAGAAATTGCTGAAAGGACTAGATCAGGCTGAAGATATTCCTGGAGGCAAACCTTGTAACCTGGGCCATTCTTGCCTCTGTGAAGAGGAGTGGTTCAGTGGTCAAGAGGCCATAGTGGAACGGAAAAGCGCATCGACTCAAACTGGCCTGTGGGAAGAGAAGCCTGTAGCGACCGCATGTAATGCTGCCACGCAGACCAGTTCGGCAACAGCAGAAACTGGCACACAGGCTTCTGTCACTGCTAGAATGACAGGCACTCAGACTTCAGTTTTGCTTGCTAATGAAAACTTTTTGGAAGTTAACTTAAATCTGATGTTACTTTTTCCCTTCTTTTCTGAAACAGCTGATGAGAGTTCGAACTCTGACGGGGAACATATACTGCTTGAGGTCAGGTGCCAAAATTGTTGGGAAAGTCCATGAGAAGTTCATGTTAATTGATGGCATTAGAGTGACAACAGGCTCCTACAGGCAAGTATTGGGGTCTGCTAGTGCCTGATGAAGCTATAGGAAGGGGAAGTTCCTGCAAGAAGGATTTATTAACTTTGCTGTTTGCCTGGTATTAATGAATGTCAATGGCAGGTGGACTAGCTGAGTCTAAATGGGACAGCACAAAACTGGAAACAGCTTTGGAAAGCTGGTTTACACAACTTGTCGCTAGCAAAGCACTTGGCTGTGGCTAAATAGAGTTCTTCCTGGTGAAGGGAGAGTGAATGGTCTATTGAATTTATACCTTCCTTATGCACAACACTTCTAAGCTGAGTCTGGCTGTCTATAACCGTATGTGTTGAAATGCACTGGGGATTAACTGTGAATCTTCATTTGTTTTTGATAGTTTCACGTGGTCTGATGGGAAGCTGAACAGCAGTAACTTGCTGCTATTGTCAGGTCAAGTGGTTGAACATTTTGACCTCCAGTTCAGGATTCTTTATGCCCAGTCGATGCCCATCAGCCCTAAGTGGCCGTCCAGCTGCAGGAACAGTGGGATGTTTGATCACCTGGTGAAGAGAATAGAGTCCCCTAAAGAATATACTGTGGAAGGCAACTTGAGAGCAGAATTTGCCAGACTGTCTAGTACTCCAAAGAAATTGCTGAAAGGACTAGATCAGGCTGAAGATATTCCTGGAGGCAAACCTTGTAACCTGGGCCATTCTTGCCTCTGTGAAGAGGAGTGGTTCAGTGGTCAAGAGGCCATAGTGGAACGGAAAAGCGCATCGACTCAAACTGGCCTGTGGGAAGAGAAGCCTGTAGCGACCGCATGTAATGCTGCCACGCAGACCAGTTCGGCAACAGCAGAAACTGGCACACAGGCTTCTGTCACTGCTAGAATGACGGGCACTCAGACTTCAGTTTTGCTGAAGACTGCAGTGACACAGACGAGGGAAGGTGAGTACACAGAAACACCCCTGCTTCACAGAAAGCTGTCAAAAGAAGGATCTTCTCTGTCTGGAAAGGCTGTATCGAGTTCTAGTCTGCGATCACTGTCTTCGTCATCGTCCCAGTGCTCCCTTGCAAGCTCTACCGGCTCACTGTCTTCCCTCCGGTCCTTTGAATATTCTAGCAGTCACAGGGCAGAATATTTCCAAAAACTGCATAAAGAGAGGCAATTCCACTACTCCACTATCAGGTCGAAGCTTAGCCACATGGTGGATATCCTGTCCCGGAGGGGACGTGTACCTGAAAACTACATGACCCGATACACTGGCAGATGCAATCTAAAACAGAGGCGTGACATCAGTGCCAGCCTGCGCAGCCTCCGGGACGTTTCACTCTTTTCTCTGAATAAATGAATACAGCACCGAATGCAGAACACAAGCTCTAGTTGCAAACTGCAGTCACTTTGTACCTGCTGATTCTTTCACTTCCTTCCAGCACTTTACTTTTTCAATACATGTGTACATCTCTCTCCAGCACTTTGTTTTATACTATGCAATTTAAGTAATTAAAAAAAAAAAAGAGGGCTTTTTTTATACTGTAACTACTTACATGTTCCTCTTGCATGCATTAGTGGTGAAGGTTCACTTTAATTCTGGATGTTTAACCTGAGCAGTAAACTTATTACTGCTTTCTAGGGTTGCTAATGATCTGGCTTTAATTTATGTAAATTTGGAAAAACCTGAGTTGGGCTGATCTTTCTCAGAGTGGCTTTGGAGATTTAGCTTACATCAAGGTATACTCGATTTTTATTTTTTTTATTATTGGCTTTTATTTCTATGTTATCTTTGGCATGAGGGGAAACAACTTTTATGAAGAGCCATAAAGCTAATTTTATTTGAAGTCTGACTTCAGAGATATATCCATTACTCTTCGACTAAAGTTGCGAAGGGTCTGTTGGAGAAGTTGCAGGTTCTTACCTTCAACTGTAGCCTTTTTCCATTGTTTAAGCCTTCTGAAATGGACTCAGCTAATTTGCTCTTCAGTTTGATCATCCTCTTGTGCCTTTGTCTAGAGATAGAAAGAGATATAAATATATATAAAGTGTGTGTGTATATACACACACATTCTCAGAAGAGCATCTTTTTAAAAACAAGACTAGAAAGTAGCAACTTAACACTCCAAAACAGCTGTACCCATTTTAGGTACGGCCCTGATGTAAATGTTTCTAGTATTTGTAACTAAGTTAGATATATTGGCCCTGTAAGACTATTAATGGGAATTTATTGCTGAAGTGTTGTTTTTTTGTGCTTTTGAGTGGGAGATGAGGTGACATCTGGAGTTCAGTGTCTTGCTGCAGCATACCTCGTTGTACTTCTCCTTTGGGTGACTTCAAAGAACTTTGTCTCTTGTGCAACTTGTTACACAGAATTAAGACTTTTCGTTTTAGCACTGTAAAATGAGCTTCCAATTCTGGCTCAGTCGAGGAATGTCTGAACCATCTTGCTTCTGTTAAGAGACCTGCAAACAGCTTCCTTCTTTGGAGTGAACTTGGAGGCGAGACAATCACTGAGGCACGTGACAAAGCCCCTGTTCAAAAGTAAACTGACAAATGCACTACGAATGTTATGGGTTATGTTTGCTGATATTATAGTACAAGTAAGTGTGTGTGTGTGGGGAAAAACCCCATTTTTCTCTTTTGACTGTCCTATCTGAAATACTCTGTTTACTGTTCAGTTTATCCACTACTAACTTAGTTTGGAGGGCTGAAGTGCCACTCTAGTTTTTGAAAACACTCTAATTTCAATATTAAATGGAGTTTAGGCTAGGTTGCTTTGCAGAGACATTATCTGTACATTTACTAGCGGTATTCTGTGCATGTGTATACCCATGTCTGTGCTTGCTGGATCCCTTATCTGAGCAGCGTGTGTGGATCCTCTCTCTGAGCAACGACCTGTACTTTAGACCTGCGTCCCAGTGCTTCAGTAACCAGCCAGCCACTGACTTGACTTGGGCAGAATTCAGTCTGGGTTACGTATTTTCTTCTTATTTATGGGCGTGTGTGTCCAGCACATTCCAGCTATTGTCTTCAATATTCCAGTAAGCAGCAATGACTGAGTGAATAAAGAGAAAAGTATCCAAAACTCAAGGCTGCACTTTAGTGAAGAGAGCAATGCTTTATTCTACTACCTTTGCCATTTCTCTCTCTGAAATCTGTATGAACAAAGAGGCTTAGCTACTCTTATTGCTTGCATTTCAAAGCAGCCACAATACATGTGTACATCTCTCTCCAGCACTTTGTTTTATACTATGCAATTTAAGTAATTAAAAAAAAAAAAAAGAGGGCTTTTTTTATACTGTAACTACTTACATGTTCCTCTTGCATGCATTAGTGGTGAAGGTTCACTTTAATTCTGGATGTTTAACCTGAGCAGTAAACTTATTACTGCTTTCTAGGGTTGCTAATGATCTGGCTTTAATTTATGTAAATTTGGAAAAACCTGAGTTGGGCTGATCTTTCTCAGAGTGGCTTTGGAGATTTAGCTTACATCAAGGTATACTCGATTTTTATTTTTTTTATTATTGGCTTTTATTTCTATGTTATCTTTGGCATGAGGGGAAACAACTTTTATGAAGAGCCATAAAGCTAATTTTATTTGAAGTCTGACTTCAGAGATATATCCATTACTCTTCGACTAAAGTTGCGAAGGGTCTGTTGGAGAAGTTGCAGGTTCTTACCTTCAACTGTAGCCTTTTTCCATTGTTTAAGCCTTCTGAAATGGACTCAGCTAATTTGCTCTTCAGTTTGATCATCCTCTTGTGCCTTTGTCTAGAGATAGAAAGAGATATAAATATATATAAAGTGTGTGTGTATATACACACATTCTCAGAAGAGCATCTTTTTAAAAACAAGACTAGAAAGTAGCAACTTAACACTCCAAAACAGCTGTACCCATTTTAGGTACGGCCCTGATGTAAATGTTTCTAGTATTTGTAACTAAGTTAGATATATTGGCCCTGTAAGACTATTAATGGGAATTTATTGCTGAAGTGTTGTTTTTTTGTGCTTTTGAGTGGGAGATGAGGTGACATCTGGAGTTCAGTGTCTTGCTGCAGCATACCTCGTTGTACTTCTCCTTTGGGTGACTTCAAAGAACTTTGTCTCTTGTGCAACTTGTTACACAGAATTAAGACTTTTCGTTTTAGCACTGTAAAATGAGCTTCCAATTCTGGCTCAGTCGAGGAATGTCTGAACCATCTTGCTTCTGTTAAGAGACCTGCAAACAGCTTCCTTCTTTGGAGTGAACTTGGAGGCGAGACAATCACTGAGGCACGTGACAAAGCCCCTGTTCAAAAGTAAACTGACAAATGCACTACGAATGTTATGGGTTATGTTTGCTGATATTATAGTACAAGTAAGTGTGTGTGTGTGGGGAAAAACCCCATTTTTCTCTTTTGACTGTCCTATCTGAAATACTCTGTTTACTGTTCAGTTTATCCACTACTAACTTAGTTTGGAGGGCTGAAGTGCCACTCTAGTTTTTGAAAACACTCTAATTTCAATATTAAATGGAGTTTAGGCTAGGTTGCTTTGCAGAGACATTATCTGTACATTTACTAGCGGTATTCTGTGCATGTGTATACCCATGTCTGTGCTTGCTGGATCCCTTATCTGAGCAGCGTGTGTGGATCCTCTCTCTGAGCAACGACCTGTACTTTAGACCTGCGTCCCAGTGCTTCAGTAACCAGCCAGCCACTGACTTGACTTGGGCAGAATTCAGTCTGGGTTACGTATTTTCTTCTTATTTATGGGCGTGTGTGTCCAGCACATTCCAGCTATTGTCTTCAATATTCCAGTAAGCAGCAATGACTGAGTGAATAAAGAGAAAAGTATCCAAAACTCAAGGCTGCACTTTAGTGAAGAGAGCAATGCTTTATTCTACTACCTTTGCCATTTCTCTCTCTGAAATCTGTATGAACAAAGAGGCTTAGCTACTCTTATTGCTTGCATTTCAAAGCAGCCACTCCTTCCCTAAGCTGTGAGGCAGATGTAGAAAGAGGTGCAGGTGGGGGGAAAATAAAGCTCAGTCTGTGCTTGTTTGAAAAGTCAAGATACTTTCTTGCCTGGTCCCTGGAGCTGGAACACTGGGAGCAAAGCACGTTGCAGAGAGGGAGCCGATATGCCTTTAAAGCCAATCTTGAGTTGTGTTTTTAAGAGCTCGCGTTCAGCAGCGTTTGCACGTATGTAAAACCAACTTGATTGTTCTGGGTGCTCTTAAACTTTATTACACTGTGCAGCTGTTCCGGTACTCTCACAGGGACACGAAACCGTTTACAAATAAACTCCTTTTGCCATGGGGGTTTTCACCTGATCCTTGCTCAGCTTTGTTTTCCGTTTGGCGTTTAGATCTGCGTGACTAACGCGGCGCTTCCCCGCCGCGGCGGGTACGCGGAGCCGCCTGCCCGGGCGGGCCGTTTGCCCTCTCGGAGCGGAGGAGCGGCCTTTC